AATAAAAATAATAAAAATTAATTTTTTTATTACTTCTGCATTTTCTTTCAAAATGGCTGATTTTTAACACTCTTTTACTGAAAAGTAATGCTCATATATGGTCTTGGATCATGCTAATAAACCGAGAATAATACAATTTACGGAACTCAATTCGGACTTAAAACGAACGTTTACCGTAAAACTAAAAATTCTAAAATTTAAATTCTTTACTCACATTTTTTTCTCCAATTTAATGAACATATTGCTTCTTAGGATCTAATATAATTATCTTGAAATATTCTACATTTACGGAACCACATTCGGACTTAAACCGAACGATTACCGTAAAACCGAAAATTCTAAAAATTTCGATTTCTATTAAAATAATTTAAATAGACTATAATGTCTAAATAAATTTTCTCACTTCTTTGAACATTTATCACTTAAATGTTCTTGGATACTTAACCTTACTTCAAGACTTAACTTGTATCAACTTATGCTAAAACTCAATATTATGATCTTATCTTGATGACTTAAACACTTAGAAAAAATCTAAGTATTTAGTACTAAGGCTCGGCCATTTCTTAATTAAGTTCAACCCATGACCGAACATACTTGGTTTCAGTTCACTACTTATCTTAAACGATTAATCAAAATATACTCAATTTCGATTATTCGTCATCTTATATTAATTAATCCCGTCTTATAAATCCATTTATAAAAATAAACAGACCGGAATTAATTAATTACTGAACTGGCTCGATTACTGAATAATATTGAACCGAGAATACTTTCGACTTAAAGTCGAATTTTTAACTGAATAACTTAATAACTGGCTCGAACTAGGAACGAGCATTAATAAAAGTAATTAGTTCATACTTAGAATAATTACTTTTATTAATTACTGAATGGGATATTACAGCTGGACCGGGCGATTGGGCGCTGGTTCGGCTGGACCGGCCTCGGCCCCGTGCGAGAATGGACTCTCGGGTGCACGCTGGGCACGACCGAGACTGGACTGAGGCCCTGCCGAGCGGCTGGGCACGAGCAGGCACTGGCCCGACGCTACTGGCACGGGGAAGTCGCGGACAGAGGCCCTGATGAGAATGTGGGTTTCGAGGCCCGAGGACGCCGAGAGCCAATGGCCGAGACGACCCGAGAAGGCCGAGGAAAGGGCCAAATTCACGTATGCATGGCCTAAGAGACGGGTACGAGCCCGTATACGAGGCGCACGAGCACAAAAGGAACGGCACGAGTCGAACCATCAGGGCTGTGCAAAGGAGGTTCGTGATGGGCGCGCGCGAGGAAAACGCGCAACGCGTAAACACACGATACGCGTGAGCCGCAAAGCGAGGCGCGCGAGGGTACACGCGAAGATGCACATATATCAGCGCGAGCGTGTGCGCGAGATGATCCGACGGCATGGGTGCGAACACGCACATTGGCGTAGACATGCATGGTCAAGATCCGGGACAGGGTCGAGCCTGCAAGGACGCGCATGCGGCACGAGGGGTCACAGCCAAATGGGCCGAACAGGAAGGTCGGGTGGTCGACTCTCGAATGGTCGACACTCGCGAGCTCGAACGGGCCTATCACGTGATCGACACTCACTAGGTCGATCGGACGGCAGGACGAACAGATGGACGATGCTCGCGGAGTCGAGGACGCGCATGGTCAAGGTCGGAGGAATCGAGGCTAGACTCACTGTGTCGAGCAGATCGAGGCATGAGCAGGTCGAAGCTAGTTGGGTCGAGCACCGCCAAGGTACGAGACACGAGGCTAGGTGCGGACATCCAGTAAGCCTCGTTGGACAAGGATTAGGCGACGAGGTCGCGTACGGCCACGCACGCGCTAAGACGACAAGAGTTGGACTCCTTGGAGGATTAGGAAAGCCGGACAAGGAAGATTCCAAGGCTAGGACACGCGGGAAGCTGTAGTCACGCGCGTACAAGGTTGGCGATAGGAAGAGTCCTTGAAGGACTAGGCGAAGGCAATGCGGACGAGCGCATGGGCGGTTTCCTTGGCGGGGTAGGCAAGGCGCAAAAGGGCGGCGCGAAAGCGGAAGACTCTTTGAAGGCGGCTAGGGTCTCTTCTCTAGATGGAGTTGGCAACAGACCGGGTAGACCGCGCGACCGAGCACGAAGAGGAGTACGCGGGCCTGACGCGCAAGCGCACGAGGCGAGCCGTGCGAGCCGAGGAGCAAGAATTCTAGAAGACATTTTATTATATTAACTATTTAATTACTTAATTAGTTTGTTAGATATATGTTAGTGGCGTTAGTTGTTAGTATTGCTTAGTCATTAGATATTAGCGTGAGGTTAGTAGTTTGTTAGTTAGGATTTAATTATGAGGCTAGCGTATATATTGTTAGCATGTTAGGTTAGAATATATTATTCGTTGGTATTTGTTAGATGTTAGGATTAGTTTATTCACGTGGATTAATTAGATTGTTAGGAGATTTATTAGCTTAGGTATTTTATATTTTGGTAAGTCTTGGGATGCAAGGTATTTAGTTACCTTAGGACTAGATAAGGAGATTTATTAGCTTAGGTATTTTATATTTTGGTAAGTCTTGGGATGCAAGGTATTTAGTTACCTTAGGACTAGATATATTTGCCATAGGTTAGAATTATAGTTGGTATAGGACTAGATCTAGTTTCTCTTATAAATACCCTATGTACTCATTCGAATTATTCATCATGGAATATTAATACAAAACCCGAACTTTTGTTCAAACACTTTGCTTTAGATTTCTTCTTGATTTCTTTTGCAATTTTATTTGTTTCAAGAGGCGCTCGCGTGGCTCGCGAGACACCTATCGTGCGATTTAAGGCGCGGAGCGACTTGTCAATAGTCGGAACACACGATCTTCATCATTGGTTCTTTCATTGAGAGGTGTTAGATCGTGTGTTTTTTTTTTCTTCCCTGTCGACAATCGGAACACACGATCTTCATCATTGGTGCTTTCATTGAGAGATGTTAGATCGTGTGTTTTTTTCTTCCCCATTCTTTTGATTTTCGTTTGTTAAAAAAAAAATGTGCTTCTTTGAATCTTGAGTGGCGTGAGATTTATATAAAAAAAAAAATCTTTTCAAAATGAGTGCACGAAGTAAAGAGCGAAGGAAAGAAAGGAAAGACATGGCCAACAAGGAGATGAAGGACAAACTTGAGAGCTTGGACGTACAATTCCGAAGCATGAGCAAGGCCGTGGATAACCTAGGCGAAGGGTTCGACACCACCAAGGAATCGGTGCGGGATTTAATAGAGAACATGAACCGGAGGTTCGACGAGATGGCGCGCGGCCTCCAACACCAGCAGGCGCGGCCACCATCGCGGCCACACGGACGCGAACTACCCGAGGAGCACCGAGTACGAACAGGAGAAGGAATTCGAGAGCCACCGGCTCGACGAGTGCTTAAGGGTTGCGCATCGACCAACCCCGAACAATGCTCGACCATCACCGCACGATGATCGACCACACCCGCGTGAAGCTCGACCACCACCTTACGGGTACGATCTGGCCAGGCGAGAGCTCGAGCAAGCTGAGATCGAGCAAGGGGAGCTCGTTTTTCCGATGGAGTTTCCGGGATATTTCAACGAAGAGCCTACTTTCTCGTTTGAATTTCCGAGATACTTTGACGACGAAGAGGCGGCCAAAGACGAACACATCCATTCAGATAAAGATGACGAGTGCGAGGTCGAGCATGATAAAGGCAAACCCAAAATTGTGGTCAAACAACTCGAGCTGGAGGCCAAGTGCAAGGTCGAAGTAGAAGATGTGGTCGACGAGGACCATGAGGAGGAGATGGTCGTGGTCAAAGCGGGCCATGATGAGGAGTTCGCATTCCCGTTTGAATTTTTGGGGCTTTTTTACGAGGTCACCGAGATCATGGTCGAGCGAATCGAGTCCAAGGACCCACCTTCGTTCGACGACGTGTTCATGGACAAGGGAGTTACAATCGACTACTTAGGCCCACCTGTTTACGACGTGTACCTCGATGATGACAAGCACATAGTGGTCGAGGAGTTGTGGAAAGAGGTTGAAGAGGAGTCCCGTGAATCGTACGAGCACGATCCGGTAAAATCCAATACGCTCGAGACATCGATGCTTGGGAAAGTAGTCGAAGAGGATCAAGTAATTGAGGAACAGTGTGAGGAGCTCGACTATCCGTTCGATTTTTCGGACCACCTAGAAGTTACAGACGAACAAGCCGCGACGGGTTTTGATGGACCGCCTATCTACGATGTATACCCCGATGAATACTTCGTCGAGGTCGAGGTTAAAGAAGCCGAGGTGGTCGAAGCTCCAAGGCTCGAGGAGGTTTCGGACGTGGCCGAGATAGCCGGGATCGATGGAGTCGAGAAAACGGAAGAAGAGGTGGATGTGATCGAGGAGGACGACGAGCCTCGAATGGAAATACATGATGAGTCCTTGAGGACAAGGGCAAACTTTAAGGGGGCAGGAATGATGAGAATGTGGGTTTCGAGGCCCGAGGACGCCGAGAGCCGATGGCCGAGACGACCCGAGAAGGCCGAGGAAAGGGCCAAATTCAGGTATGCATGGCCTAAGAGACGGGTACGAGCCCGTATACGAGGCGCACGAGCACAAAAGGAACGGCACGAGTCTAACCATCAGGGCTGTGCAAAGGAAGTTCGTGATGGGCGCGCGCGAGGAAAACGCGCAACGCGTAGACACGCGATACGCGTGAGCTGCATAGCGAGGCGCGCGAGGGTACACGCGAAGATGCGCATATATCAGCGCGAGCGTGTGCGCAAGATGATCCGACGGCATGGGTACGAGCACGCACATTGGTGTAGACATGCATGGTCAAGATCCGAGAAGCCGACAGGGTTGAGCCTGCAAGGACGCGCATGCGGCACGAGGGGGTCACAGCTAAATGGGCCGAACAGGAAGGTCGGGTGGTTGACTCTCGGATGGTCGACACTCGCGAGCTCGAACGGGCCTATCACGTGATCGACACTCGCTAGGTCTATCGGACGGCAGGACAAACAGATGGACGATGCTCGCGGAGTCGAGGACGCGCATGGTCAAGGTCGGAAGAATCGAGGCTAGACTCACTGTGTCGAGCATATCGAGGCATGAGCAGGTCGAAGCTAGTTGGGTCAAGCACCGCCAAGGTACGAGACACGAGGCTAGGTGCGGACATCCAGTAAGCCTCGTTGGACAAGGATTAGGCAACGAGGTCGCGTACGGCCACGCACGCACTAAGACGACAAGAGTTGGACTCCTTGGAGGATTAGGAAAGTCGGAGAAGGAAGAGTCCAGAGAGGTTCTCGGAATCCTCAAAAGGCTAGGACACGCGGGAAGCTGTAGTCACGCGCGTACAAGGTTGGCGATAGGAAGAGTCCTTGAAGGACTAGGCGAAGGCAATGCGGACTAGCGCATGGGCGGTTTCCTTGGCGGGGTAGGCAAGGCGTAAAAGGGTGGCGCGAAAGCAGAAGACTCTTTGAAGGCGGCTAGGGTCTCTTCTCTAGATGGAGTTGGCAACGGACCGGGTACACCGCGCGACCGAGCACGAGGAGGAGTGCGCGGGCGTGACGCGCAAGCGCACGAGGCGAACCGTGCGAGCCGAGGAGCAAGAATTCTAGAAGACATTTTATTAGATTAATTATTTAATTACTTAATTAGTTTGTTACATATATGTTAGTGGCGTTAGTTGTTAGTATTGCTTAGTCATTAGATATTAGCGTGAGGTTAGTAGTTTGTTAGTTAGGATTTAATTATGAGGTTAGCGTATATATTGTTAGCATGTTAGGTTAGAATATATTAGTCGTTGGTATTTGTTAGATGTTAGGATTAGTTTATTCACGTGAATTAATTAGATTGTTAGGAGATTTATTAGCTTAGGCATTTTATATTTTGGTAAGTCTTGGGATGCAAGGTATTTAGTTACCTTAGGACTAGATATATTTTCCATAGGTTAGAATTATAGTTGGTATAGGACTTGATCTAGTTTCTCTTATAAATACCCTATGTACTCATTCGAATTATTCATCATGGAATATTAATACAAAACCCGAACTTTTGTTCAAACACTTTGCCTTAGATTTCTTCTTGATTTCTTTTGCAATTTTATTCGTTTCAAGAGGCGCTCACGTGGCTCGCGAGACACCTATCGTGCGATTAAAGGCGCGGGAGCGGCTTGTCGACAGTCGAAACACACGATCTTCATCAGGCCCCTCGGGCGCTGCCGGGCGTCCCCGAGGTCGCTGGGCACTCGGGCGGGCTGCTGGCCACGCACCGAGGCCGACTGGAGCGCGGGGTCGTGTGGCTGACACGACGCGGGCACTGCCGGACCCGACAGACACTGCTCGGGTCGGCACTGGCCATGGCACGAGGCTCTGGCGCGAGACCTCGTGCACTGGGACTGGCGCGCTGCTAGCGCGCTGTCGCGGGCACTGGTGCTGAGGGTACCTCACGCACACTGACGCGGGCACGGACAGACTCGGGCCGGCACTGCCGCACTGCATGTGCGGCCAGTAACCAAGGCCGGCCCTTGCCGGACCTCCGGCGACTTTTTCCGGTGACATGCATGACATATGAACATAATATGATGAATGTGCTACAAATATGTTATGAAACACTAGTGGACCCCGGGTCCACGTGCATGTTCACTCGATAGGGCCTAAATGGCATGTACGAGCACTTCACGTCCGAACTAACATTCGTAACTTACAAATCTACTCAGGGCCGAATGTTATACATCACAAATGATGACTATAATTGCTAACACTTAGGTCATATCATACATGCATGAGGATGGGACTCAGGTGGCCAAAATAGTATTTAAGGGCCATTTACATTCAAACTTTTACACTATCAATGGTATAATATTTAAGGGTGATTTAACTAAAAATCTCGACTTTAACATGCTTGCTACTAAGATTTAATTTTTAAGGTCATTAACTTAATAAATTTGGAACTTGCTTATAAACACATGCATGACTCGGTTTTTCTTCATTAAAAATCTTAAAACGTCATAAAATAAATTTGGGAAGAAGTTGACTCGGACTAACCTTCACCCAAAATGCAAAACGAAAGCTAGGGCTTGAATGGTGGTTAGGTGCGGCCTTGGGGATTTGGTTGGACTTAGGATGCGTTTTGGACGTGCCTTTCTCTTCCAAAAGACTTAGAAAAATCTAAGTAACACTTAGAATATGCTAAGACTTGAGAGATTTGGCTTGGACAAGGCTGAGGCGCGGTGGTGGTCTTCCCCAGGTCTGCGCGCGCGAGTGATGGCAGTTTTTGTTTTGATTGAGCTATCTCTGATTTTTCTCAAGGTATGCTCGGGCTTTTAGTTGTGTAAGAGCTTACAAGGGACTAAGGAAGGCTCCTTAAGTACTGGTTTGGGCGGAGATAGCTAGGTGACATTGTGGAGGACAATTGATGTGGGAATTCCATCTCATGGCATGGAATTTAGGTCCATGACCTTGGGCATGCTTAAGGCCTGACCTTGCACGGTCTTTGAGCTTATTTTAGAGTATAAAAATCATGGTGGAGAGGTCAGGTCAGGTCTGGCACGAGGGTGGGGGACAAGGACAAAGGAATCTTGAATATAATAATGCAAGGCACATATCCACTTTTGTTAAGCATAGTTTGACTTTGGCTAATCTTGCTTAGGGCCATATTAGCTTAAACTAATCCTTATTAAGTGTATAATACACGCATGAATGGGTCGTGGGTGAAAGTGGGTCGAATCTTTGCCATTTGGACCCAAGAAGATGGGTTGTCGCGCTGCCAGCGCTGGGCCTGGGCGCTGGGCACTGGGCCTGGGCGCGGCAACGTGGGCTGGCGCGAGTGGGCTGCTGGCTGGCGCGGGAAAGTGGGCTGCACGTGTGCTGGTGGCCTTGGGCCGAGTATAGGACTTAGGTAAGGGTCTCCACACTTACAAAAATTTGCAAAGTGATGCTAAGGCTTAGGACATGGCCTTGGCGGTCCTTGGGCGCGACTCAGGGCGCGGGTGCGAGGTTAGGGCACGGGCGGCTCGGGCATGGACTAGGGCTCGATTTTTAAAATGTCCGAGACTTACTTCTTGATATTCCAAGACTTAGAAAAGTATAAAATACCAAGACTTGGCTATGCTCGAGAATTAACTTGAAAAATAATCGGAACCAAACTAGGGTTTGAAGTTGATAATTTCTCGAATCGACTTGCTATTATTTAACAACCCAAATTAATGGATTAATCTTAACTTAAACTTTATATAGAATTATTCAAAGAATAACTTATCATATTTGAGCATTTAGCATACTAAATATAACTCGGGAATTTCTGAAAATTACGGATTTCACTTATCGTCGAGCAGTGAAACCGTTCTTAATATTATTTCTGATTTGGGGCGTTACAATCTATCCTCCTTAAAATATTTCCGTCCTCGGAAATACAAAACTAAGGTGCTAGGCCAGAACTCCTACTACAAACTATGTACAGAACATAAGATAAAAGTACATATATATACATCTGAAAATCTCAAAACTCGAAATCTGGATAACGAGCTCTGATCTCGGCCTCTCTCTCCCAAGTGGCTTCCGATTCATCGTGGCGACTCCAGCAAACTTTGACAAGCTCTATATCTCTGTTCCTCAGCCGACGGACCTTTCGGTCCGGAACTGCTACCGACCGCTCATCATACGTCAGGTTCTGCCCGACCTCTAGCCCGTCAAAGTTCACTATGTGACTCGGGTCGTATACGTACTTTCTCTGGGGGTAACGCCAGATGGTAGGCTGTTACGCCAACTCGCTCGAGAATATCAAATGGCCCTATGAATCGAGGCTGCAGCTTCCCCCTCTTCCCGAATAGGACAACGCCCTTCATCGGCATGGCCTTCAGGAATACTTTGTCTCCCTGCTCAAATTCAAGCTCCCTTTTACGCTTGCTAGCGTAGGCCTTATGTCGTCTCTGAGCCTCTCTCAATCTCTCTCGGATCTCGGCGACCTTATGCACTGTGTCCTCGATCAACTTGGGACCGACAACCTGCTTCTCGCTGACCTCATCCCAATAAAGGGGTGAGCGGCACTTGCGACCGTACAAAGCTTCGAACGGTGCCATCTTGATCGAAGAGTGATAGCTGTTGTTATAGGCAAACTCCACAGTGGGTAATAACTGCTCCCACAAACCACCATGCTCTAAGACAAAAGCTCGGAGCATGTCCTCAAGCGTCTGGATGGTCCGTTCCGACTGACCATCGGTCTGTGGATGATAAGTGGAGCTAAACTTCAACTTCGTCCCCATGGACTCGTTCAGACTCTCCCAGAAATGGCCGGTGAACCTGGGATCTCGATCTGATATAATCTCGACAGGAACGCCGTGAAGTCGAACGATTCCCTGGAGGTACGTATCTGCTAGCTGCTCCATGAACATGTCCATCCTGACGGGCATAAAGTGTGCCGACTTCGTCAACCGATCCACTACAACCCATACCGCGTCGTGGTGCTTGGACGACATCGGTAATCCCGTGACAAAGTCCATGGTCAGCTTCTCCCACTTCCACTGCGGGATCTCTAAAGGCTGCAAGAGACCCGGTGGAACCTTGCGCTCGGCTTTCACCTGCTGGCAAATCAAGCACTTCTCGACAAACTCGGCGACATCTTGCTTCATCCCCTTCCACCAAAATAACCTTTTCAGGTCGTGATACATCTTGGTGTTACCGGGGTGCGCCAAGTATGGTGCACTATGCGCCTCAGTCAAGATCTCCTTCTTCAGGGCCTCGACATTCGGCACAACTATTCTGCCCTTGTACTCCAAAGCACCATCAGTGCCTCGGTAGAAACCCTCAACTCCTCCGGCATGAATCTTCGCCCTCATCGTACGAACGAACTCGTCGAAGGCTTGATCCCGCTGGATCCTGTCTCGTAACGTGGGCCACATCCTCATTGCTCGAATACCTTCCACAATTGGCAACTTGGGAGGTGATTCGACCATCTCTAGCTGCATCCGAGCGAACTCATGAATCAACTGACGCTGCTGAGTAATCATACAGGTCAGCTCGCCCTTTTCCTTCCGGCTGAGGGCGTCGGCAACTACATTCGCCTTGCCCGGATGATAGTTAATGGTACAGTCGTAATCCTTCACTAGCTCCAACCATCGCCGCTGGCACATGTTGAGCTCCTTCTGAGTGAAGATATACTGTAAGCTCTTGTGGTCTGTGTAAATCTCGCAATGTCCTCCGTATAAATAGTGCCTCCAAATCTTCAGGGCGTGAACCACTACTGCCAACTCAAGATCGTGAGTCGGGTAGTTCACCTCGTGCGACTTTAGCTGACGAGAAGCATACGCCACAACCCTACCGTCTTGCATCAGAACACAGCCTAGACCTTGCTTCGAGGCATCACTATAGATAGTGAAACCCTGTGTGGGGTCTGGAATAGTCAACACTGGGG